ATACGTGCTAAGCAAGATTTTTCTTATGGAAAATTAGAATAGCCACACTGGAACAAACCAAATAATCCTTAAAGAATAAAGCAATTACCAAGAGTCAGCATGGATTTGCCAGACTTTATTGATTAGGTAATTTCCTTAGTAGATAGTGGGAATTCTGTAGACATATCTTGTTTTCCACAAAGCATTTGACAAATCGGCCTATGGTATTCTGGTTCACAAGCTTTTTATTTATTTGCTTCAGAAAGCTACCCAGTTCTATAAAAACTTGAGCAGCACACACCATCTCTGTGGGCAACATGGCATGATAATTGAATTGATACATTGTGAAAATATTTACAGACCCCTCACAGCCTGGACATAAATTGTTTTAACTTCTACCTATAGGGCACTGCACACCAGAACAACTAGACAAGGACAGTTCCCCCCCCCCCCCCAATGCCACCACTCTGCTAAACAACTAATTCCCACAACACTGTCAAACTACTTAGTAAAACTTTATTACTATTATTCTCATCCTTCCTATTACCTATCTCTTCCCATTTATGACTATAACCATGTTGCTTGCATCTTTACAATTTATATTGTTTTGTTTCCTAGTGTGATTTGATACTTATTAGTAACCTATGACTATCACTAAGTGTTGTATCTGATGATTCTTGATGAATGTATTTTATTTTTTCTTATGTACAGTAAGAGCATATGCACCAAACAAATTCCTTGTGTGTCCGTTCACACTTGGCCAATAAAGAATTCTATTCTGTTCTGTTCTGTTCTATGTTGTGCCATGCCTTTGTAAGGTGGGAATGGACACTTGACCTCACTTCCCTGGGTAAGCGGCTCTCAAGGCCAGTGGAACAAGGACGTGCAAAACGGCCAATTCAAAATGAAACAAACGGAGACGCCGCGGTCCCTGAATCTTAATAAAAGCGCAAATGCTGAAATGAAAGATGCTGACCCTACGTTACAAAGCGCGCTCTAACTCCGCCCCGCCTCTACCCCCCCCCCCCGCCTCTTCTCCAGCCTCCCTCCCTCCCTCGTGACTCCGGAAGGGGCGGCGCTGGGTGGCCGTTTGAACGCAGGCGGGAGTCTCGGCGCCGCCGGTCGGGCAGACCCAGCTACCTTGCCGGAGAAGGGCGGCAAGGCAAGGACGGGCTCTTTCTCCCTCCTTTGGGTTCCCGGCCGGTCGAAAGCTGAGGCCGCGACGAAACCGCCCTCCCGGGGATGAGCGCCGCCGCTACTGGCCCCCCCGGGCACAGCTGCAGCTCCTCGCCGGAGCGCCGCGGCCGAGCGGAGGAGGAGCTGCTCCGGACCGAAGGGCGATACCTGGAGCAGCTCGAAGGGGTTGCGACGGTGAGGAGGACGCTCCCGCGCCTCGTGCGTGTCCCTGGGCGCCCGTGGGCGTGGGCGTGGGCGCGATCGGGCAAAATTCGAGGGGCAAGCGTGACGCGGGGAAGGCCGTGGCGGCCGCAAGCCTCTGCCCTTCGCGGAAGGAGAGAGGCCGAAAGAGCGGCCCGGGTTTAAGGGGCCTGTCTCCTTTGGAGCAGCGGCCCCCGGGCTTTGGAGACTTTTCCGGCAGCTGATAAACATGCCTCTTGGGCGGGAGGGAGGGGAATAGGGGACGAGTAGGATTACCCTGTCTCACAGGGGCGAGCGGTTGAACATCATTGAGTTAATGGATACTTATTTCTCATCTTTGTTAATACTGGAAGCTGTTCAAATTCTCTGGACATGGAATAACCTCCTAAACTACACCAATACATAACAGATGCCTTTTCCCCCAATGTATGCCCACTTCCCCTTATGTAAAGCAGCTGAAACCAGCACTTTACTGAATTCCTTGTGTGTCCAATCACACTTGGCCAATAAAGTCTTCTACTTTGTAGTCTGGCTGGTCTAGTCTATTATTAGTTTAACTTTAAAATCTCCTTTGCTAAGACAGATAAACATGGCTTGGATTTTGAATTTCTTCCACAATTTCACAAAATCAGGCTTCTTTGTTTTAGATCTATTACATATTTTTATTTTCCCTTAATTTCACAGACACGCATATCTATTTGGATTTCTTGCTTCTCATTTGGTAATTCATGACCATTTACTCTTCATGTTCTGAGTTACAGCCTTCTCTCAGCTCTTACCATCGCCAATAGGGGCCCATGGATTTGTCCTGTACTGCCCATTGTGGCTTTGGTCGGTTGAGGTTTCTGCTAAGTTAGCAGCCCATCTTTAGCCATGCCACATTCATCATTCCAAAGAGATTCCTGGTTAGCTTAGCACATTTTGGCTAGTAGGTCACAACATAAGCAAAGCCCAGTTTTAGCTCAGACTTGGTCAAGTGATTTTATTTAGGACAGGCTCTCTGAACTTTACCTTGCAAGAGGCATATAGTTTTTTACATCAACGATAAGGTAGATGCACTATTTTGACTAAAAAGCAGTATTAAGGAACCAAACTTGAGATGCCCAGTGAGCCAGATTTTCTCCATGCTGCAGGAAGAGTGAAAACAGGAATGTTGTATTCAGCTTCAACTGGACAGTAATGGTCCTATATCCCTTTTCAGTATTTTGTGGTCACCCTGAAGGCCAAGGGGATCTTGAAGCCAGACATCCATGAGATTCTCTTTGGACCCTGGGAGTCTATCTGCTCTGCCAGCCGGTAAGGTCAGCCATGTGGCATTGTGGCCGGGGATGGCGGATGGGGTGGGGGAGAGAGAGGACAATGCACTCTCATTGGCCTTCTTCCTTGGACTCT